CCCAGGGCCCGTGGCTGGTTTTTCACTCTCAGTTACATTCAAAGACAAAATGTGCTTTTGGCCCAGGCTGGCCCAGGCAGGTTGGCCAATCGGCAGCCAGAGGCCGGCAAGTCATTTGCATGTCGCGATTCCATTGGTGCAAACAGCTGGAAAAGATCAGTGGCGGGGGGGGGTTCCCGTGTGTGGGTCTGGCACTGCTGGGGAGGCAGCGAGCCAGGGGCATCGGGGCTGGCACAGCAAAGGGGCTGTGGGTCGGACTCGAGGGGCACCAGCCCAGCCCTGCCCGCGGAGCCCAGGGCTGGCACAGCAGGGGGCTGCAGGTCAGGCTTGAGGGGCACCAGCAGAGCCATGGGGGAGGGAATGACGGGACAACAGGGGGGCTGTCCCAGGACCCCGGGGCAGAGCTGAAGGTCCAAGAAGCTGCCTCTCCCAGGTGACGTTTCCCAGCCCTGAGCTCTGTCTGGGAACGCCGGCTCCCCGCGTTAGAGGCTCCAGGGCCGGGCGTTGGTCCTGGCCCGGCCCCAGCGTGGTAGTGGCAGTGTCTGGAATTAGCCCACCAGACGCGGGATGAACAGCCCCGAGCTCAGCCAGGATGCTCCATCCCTCCCCGACAGCCAGCTCCAGGCTGAGCGTCCGGGCAGGAAGAGGGGACCAGCCCCACGCCCAGTGCTGCCCCCTGCACAGCCGTGGGGCAAAGGCCAGGCCCATGAGGACAGCGGTTCCAGCAGCTGCAGCGTGGTCAGGGGATTGGTTCCTGCAGGGTAAGTGCCCCCTCCACAGCTGGAGGGCTGGCTTCCCCCTGGTAGGGTGAATGGTGACGGGACGGGGTGCCCGGTGGTGGGCTCAGCATCTGGCCAGATGTTTCTAGCCATTCCTGGCACGCTCCATTGGACCCTCCGGGTCAGAACTATTGCAGCAAATACACTTGTTCTCCCTGCCCTTCCCACAGACCCTACAATAACATCCCAGCGTGTGCGGCGCCGTTCCTCCCAACAACCCTACAATAACAAATGGGGGGAGGCGAGGTGCAGCCCGGCCCACAGACCCTCCAACAACATATGCGGGGGGGGGCAGGCACCGTCCCTTCCCGCAGACCCTACAATAACAAACGGGGGGGGGGGGCGAGGCGCAGCCTAGCCTGGCCACAGACCCGCCAACAACAACCCAGTGCCAGGTCTGGGTCTGCCAGTGGCTCCTGGCCTGGGCATTCGTGCTCCCGGCAGCCTGCGGCCGTTGCCCGAGAGCACAGAAGTGAGTGGGAGATCGGGGCGCCCCCCGCGCCGTGGGGCTGACAGCCCGCGCAGTACCAGACAGCTCCTGGGAGCTCAACGCTGCCTGGCAGCCTGCCAGGGACCCGACCACCTAAATCCCAGCTAGATAGCGAGGGCAGGACAGGCTGGGCCTGGGCCGCAGCGCACAGCATGCGCAGCATGGAGAGAGCTCCCCCTGCGCAAGGGGGGGGGGGCAGTACAGAGCCCCCCACTGCCCCCAGCCCAGGGCCCGATCCTGCAGGAAGAGCAGTGCAGGGGAAGGGGGCACACAGGCAGCACAGAGCCCCCCCAACCTGGGCCCGACCCTGTGGGGCTGCACCACAAAAGGGGATTCTCCTGCTCCGAGGCCCGGAGCCGCCCAGGGGATCCAAGGGTGACCCTGCCTTGGCCCAGCTCCCAGCAGGGGGGAGCCACGTGCTCTCCTGGGGAATCGGCCCCAGCCCTGCCTGAGCTCAGACAGCTTGTTTACCAGCTGGGCACCGCCAGGGGATGGGGCCCTCGTGGGGGCTGCTGGGTCATCAGGGGACAGGGGCCCTCAGGGTAACGGGCTTCCTCCCGCCCTGCCTGACATGGAGACTGTTCCCAGGGCAAAGGGGGGCAAGCCACTCCGGCAGCCAGGCAGGGACCCCAAGAGTCCTGGCTCCCAGCTTCCCCCCACTCTAACCACTGGACCCCACTCCCCTCCCGGAGCTGAGGACAGAAGCCAGGAGAGCTGTGGGGAGCCAGTACTAACCATGAGTCAGCGCTGTCCCCCGAGCACCCTGCCTCCCTTGGCCGGGGACCCTTTATCCCTCCTGACAGGAGCAGTAAATCACAGGCAACCTGATCCAGTGGGTCCCGCCAACCCCTTCAGAAGAGGCGGGGTGGAAAGCCCCGGCCCCACGTGGCTCCGCAGGGCTGGGCAGCATTAGGGAACATGTGTCGGCGCTGGCTCCGGCCCCCACTTCCCTCCAGCCCACGCTCCCCTGTCCTCTCCCACGGCCCCGGCCAGCAGGGGGCGGCCCAGGTAAATGCCCCGGGGGCTGGGTTTCTGTGGAGTGACACTGCCACCCGGTGGCCAGGTGCGCCAATCACAGGTGCGCATCTCTGGCCCACCCCCCACCCCCCGGGCTCTGCTCTTGGCCAAAGATGGGGATGTGCGGGGAGACCTTGGACGTGTTGCTCCCTCCTCCGTGCCTCAGTTTCCCCCTCTGTAGGGGGGCACCTGCCTCTGGGGAGTGCTTGATGGGGGTAGTCATGGTCTGCACCCCTCAAAGCAGAGCGCTCCCCCATGACAGCGCGAGGGTTAAGAGGCTGGTGACCCAAGGCCAGAATGTGAGGGACCCTGAGAGTGCGTGAGAGCATGTGTGCGCACGGAGGCCTGAACCCATGGCCGTGCACACACCTCAAGCCTCGCACGCTCCCGGGTGGCGGGAAGGGTGTTCACAGCCCTGGAGGCACAAGCTGCCTGGGTTCCGCCCCCCCAAGCACAGCCCCACAGACAGAGACAGGCATCCCATAACCTGCCCTCCCTGCCCCCCGGCCTCAGCCAGCACCGCCTGCCCGCTGACCCCGCGTGGCCTTCAGGTGGGGTGGGGGGGTTCCATCTAGTTTCCACCCCAAAGATTTTTATAACTAGGGATCAGCACCCGCTACCCCCCCCCCCCACCAAAATGCAGCGGGCTCTGGGGTGGATCATGGCAAGGGACACACAGCAACGCTGCACGGCCAGTTAGGACAGGGAGTGACAGCAGAGACCATCTGATCCAGTGCTGGGCAGGGCCACTTGCACCCCAAGCCATGGCGGACAGGCAGGGCACCGGAGCCAGGAAACTGGAGCGAGAGGCTGTGCAAACGCAGGGCAGCGGCACGGGCCGACTGCCTGCCCGCTGGCAAAGAGAGACCTGCTGCTGCCCTGAACCCAGTGGGGCCTAGCCGGTGCCAGCGCTGGAGAACGGACCCGTTCTCTGGCCCCCTCTCTGCCCGGCCAGGAAACAGGGCCGGCTGGCACTGACGCTTTGCAGCACGCATGGGCACGCCCATCTTCACTAGCGTATGTGCTCGTGCAAACCCCATCTCTCATACCTCCCCCACCCTTGCTGCTCCGGCTCTGCTTGGAGGAGAGGGGGCTGCTGACTCACCCAGAGAGCCCCACGTGGGAGCACATGTGAATTCAGAGACGTCCAGGGCCCGCAGGCCCTGAGCCACAAAGGGACCAGCACGGGCAGGAGGACGCAGCCCGCCTGGTCTGGACAGCCCCTCCCCATGCTGAGCCATGTTCAGCCCTACCCCGAGGGCTGAACGCCTCCACCCACCACCCCCAACCCCGGGGGCAGTGCCAATCTGCAGGCATGAAAAGTCAGGGGTGGGAATCAGGACAAGTCCAGCCCAGCCGCCCACCTTGGCCCGTTGGAACCTGGGACATCAGATCGGCAGCTCAAGTTGCAGGGAGAACTCCATCAGCTAGCAACAGAAGTAGGCTATTATCCCCTTAGAAGATGGACCACTACGGGACGTTGCCCTAGGCCAGGGCAGGTCACAGCTGCCCTGGACGGAGAGGGGAGCGGCAGGGGATGTGGGGGGATTGGGGGAGGTGCAGGGGGCTTAGAAGGGGGGCAGGAAGGGGGTGCGGCACGGGGCTTCCCCAGCTCTTACCGGGTTTCCTCTGGCTCCGACAGGCAGTCCAGGGTGCTGGGCTTCTGTTCCATTCACCGCAATTCCATCCAGGAGCGCTCAGGTGAGACCAAGGTGGGCTCCGCCCCCAGGTGCTCAGCACCGCGGCCGCCACGGCAGACGCGGGGTGCCGGGGGTGTCTATGGTGCACTCCCCATGGCGCCCAGCTCAGCGCCCGCCGGCGAACACCATCCCCGGGGGGGAGGGGCGCCGATCCCACAGGAGAGACCCTACAAAAATAAACACCGCCTTGAAATGGCAGCTACGGGGCCCGATCCTGGCAGAGGGCAGGGACTAACTCCCCTCCCAGAAGTGGCGGAAGAACCCCCTGCTACCGAGCTGTGCTAGGGCTCTTACCCCCCCCCACGTCCTCTCCCCCCATCGTGGGGCTCAGCCTTGCCCAGAAGGGCCCCCTCTAGTGGGGAGCCCAGGCTCCATGGCCCCCCCAGCCCATGGCCAGCGAGGGGCCAGGGGCGCTTGTGCCCCACGGGGGGCGGGGGGGAAGGGGCCTGGTTCCACTCTGTGAAGGACGGGAGCCATGCGGGGGGTGACTAGGGTCCCCTCAGCCCCACCGCAAATCCCTGTCCCCCAGGCAACGCCCCCACCCTCCTGGATATCACACTGCCCTGATGGCAGAGAAAGGGGGGTACAGGCAAAACGGACAGTCAGACACAGGGAAGGGGGTTGCTGGAATCCCCCAGGGGCTCTCAGCCCTGGGTCCCTCCTGGCTCAGAGCCTCCCAGGCACACACCTTTCCGCCCCCCCCAGCCGGGAGCCCGCCCTCTTCCCCTTCCCCTGGCTGACAGCAGCCGAGGTTACCCAGAGGTTAACAAGCAGCTGGATGCCCTCCCGCAGCCTGGCACAGGGCACGGCCCCTCTCCCGTGCAACCCCCCCTCCTCACACAGCCACCTCCCCTCCCCGCCCCCCCCGCTTCCCTCCCATCCAAACATAAGGATTTCTGCAGACAGCCTGGCACGGGGCCAAGCTAAGCAGACGCATCAAAGGGCAGCGGAGAAGCGGGGTCCCCGCAGGGCCCCCCGAGGCAGGAAGTGCCGGGAGGTGAGGGCAGGCGAGCCGTGTCCTCGGCTGACCCCCGGCGGGGTCTCGGCTCCGTGCATGACGGCTGGGCACACAGCACACGTGGGGGAACAATCGCGCTCCGGGGTCGGCTGAGGACAAGAGACTGGCGCTCCCGACTTCCCAGCGGAGGCGCAGCCGCCCCGGGGCACATGGCCCCACTGCAGCTACATGGGGGCCTGGGCGGAGGGGGCTTGAGATGGCAAGTGGCGGGGCCTGCCGGGCATCGGGGCTGGCGCAGAATCACGGGGGTTGGGGGAGAGGCTTTGGCTTGGCACATCCATCGAGCGCAGGAGTCTGTGCACAAGAGTTTGCACTAGCATGCGTGGAGCGTCTGGACTGGCACGCCCATGTGTGCCACGCTGCGCACGAGGGGATAGGCCTGTGCCTGGCAGATCGCAGCTCTGTGCAGAGGAGTGTGTGCAAGGGGGCAGCCTCGTGTGAGAGCGGGTGCACATGTGTCCCGAGAGCCGTGGGGGAGAGGGAGGGTCACACTTGCACACTTGTCCTGAGTGCTGGGGGTCACACATGTGTCCGGGGGGCATGCACCAGTCACACCACTGCTGGGGTGCGACAGCACCTTTGCCTCCTGGCCTGTCTGACACGGCCCTGATCTGCCCCCATCCCCAAAAGCACTGGGCACCGCAGGGCCCCCCAGAACAGCTCCGGCTGTTACAGCCATGGCGGGAGGCCATGGGGCATGGGGGCCTGGGCGTGAGGGATTTGGAGAGGAGGGGGCAGTGTGCCGCTCCCGAGAGCCGCTAAAGATGCCCGGTCTTCGGGCTCCTGCACCAGGCAGCCGCAGGGCAGACGGGAGAGCTCAGGGGCTGTGACGTGGAGACTCCAGGCCGCTGCCCCCCTCTCCCACTGCACTGGTGCCAACTGGCCAGCTGCTGGCAGGCGTCACAGAGAGGCCAGAACTGCGCTCCCGGGGGGGGCGCGTCCAGGGGACACCCAGGGGACTTGTCTCCCTCCAGCAGGAAGAGAGGAGCCTGTGAGAAAATCACAGGAGAGAGTCCACCCCCCTGCCCCCCAAGCAGAGGGGTGCCCTGCCCTGGGCTTGCGGGCTGGAGCCAAGCAGGACGGGCACAGACAGGAAGGGGGGTGAGAGCAGCTGGGCCAAGGCACCACTCGCTTCCCACAGCCCCAGGTAACGGGGGAAACTAAGGCACGGAGGGAAAGGGACTGGCAGAGGCAGTATTAGAACCCAGGCATCCTGGCTCCTAACCCCCCTCCCCGCCCGCCCCACTTTCCTAGACCCCGAGCCCCCACTCGCCTTCCCGAACAGGAGCAGAACCCAGGAGTCCTGTTAGGGCCCCCGCTCTAGCCACTAGCCCGTGGTGCCTCTCAGCGCTATGGCAAGCACAGCTTTGAGGGGAGGGGGAAATCCCTTGCAATGCAGCACCCCCCTGACCCGCCTTTCTGTGCTGCAAGGGCTTATGGGAGATATGCAAATGAATCTCTTCCCCCCCCCCCAGGGACTTGGGGGCTATCCCTGAGGGGGGAGGGCACCGGCTCTGGGCAGTGCCAGGCCCACCTATGGCCCAGCACCTCCCCCGGAAGGCAGGCGGATCCCTACAGCGGGTGCTCCCCGGGGCACCAGCGGATGGGATGAGCCAAGGACATGGCCTCACCCTCTCGGGGATTCCCTGGGTGCCAGCCAAGGCCGGTCATGCTCTCGGCCCCAGCACGGAGCAGAGCGGTGCGTCTCCACGGCTGATGGGCTCCCACGCCAGGCACTGCTGGGGAGGGGGTGGGGTGGCTTTCCCAGCCAGAGAGAAGCAAGGGGGGCAGGGGACAGGGACCCGCTGAGCCCCAGAGCCAGAAACTTCCTGCTCTCAAACTCCAAGCAAGTGCCCTGGGGCTGCGAGCAAGCGAGGGAGCAAGTTAAAGCACCGACCTGGGAGCCAGGACTCCTGGGTTCTATCCCCTGCTCTGTCACCGGCCTGGTGCGTGACCTCAGGGCAGACCCTTCCTCTTGCTATGCCTCGGTTTCCCCATCTGTACTCTGGGGCGCTGACATGACAGTGAGCGAAGGGCAACGAACACAGGAGTAGAATGGTTTTTTTTGGGGGGGGGAGCACACAGACAAGCGAGTGTGTGTCAGTGTCTGTGCACACACGAACGTGCAAGCAGGTGTGTGAATGGGCATGGCTGTTTTCAGGCAGCACCCCCCTCTGTCCCCCAGCTCCGGGTATGCAAGCCTGCTCTGTAGCGGAGAGAACTGCAGCAATGGGGCTGGCAGGTGACGCGTGCAGCCCCACGGCAGCCTGCCAGCCCATGCCCCCCAAGAGCCCAGAGCTGAGCGTGGGCCTGGCAGCACACCGCAGTGCCCGCCCACAGCCAGCGCACATGGGTGTGCCGAGCCCTGGGGGATCCCTGCAGTGGGTGCAACGACATTAAGCCCCCTACCCGCCCCGGCCAGGAGAGCAGGGATGGGCGGTGGATCAGCTCCACACGCCACCCTGCCCTGGCTGCCCAGAGAACAGCCTGTCGTGTGCCAGGGCTCGGCCCTGCTCCCGCGGTGCTGGACGGCGCAGCACTCCTCCGGCCCCCTGGGACTCCCCCAGCCTGGATGGCGCTGAGAGCAGAGGCGGCAAGGCCCCGTGGCTGGGGCTGCTGGCCAGAGAAGGGAGGGACTGGGAGTTCAAGGACACCACCTGCTTCTGCCCCGCCATCAGCCTGGGGCAGCCAACAGCCCACGTGTGGGGGAGACTGGGACCTGGCCGGGCACTGAGAAGGGATGAATAAACCAGGCCTTCTCTGGCAACCTTGGACACCTGGATCCCAGCACTCCTGGCCTGCCTCGCGGCTCACTGCGCAGATAGGGAAACTGAGGCACTGAGCAGCAGCGATGAGTCAGTGCAGTGGAAGAGCCAGAAATAAAACACAGGAGTCCTGACTTCCAGCCCCGCCTGCTTTAACACACCAGGCCCCTCCCAGAGCTGGGACAGGACCCGGAGTGCCAACCGCAAGCTCTAACCATCAGACCACGCTGCCAGCGCACACTCTGTACAGAGCACAGCATGGCCCTAGCTAGCCCTGGGCCTCGGGTGCCCATGTAAGAGGCCTCCCTTCTCAGCTCCACCCGCGCCATGTCCGGGCAAGCAGGACTCACACTAGGGCCAGTGGCTGGCGCAAGGCAGGAACAAATGCTCTCCAGAGGTCTGTGGCACTGAGCCCTGGGCAGAGCTGGGCACAAGCCCCTGCCTCGCCTGGAGCCAGTGCTGCCCAGGCTCCTGCACGCCCAGACCCTGCGGGCACAGAGGCGTTGGCAGGGCACAATCCATCTCCATGGTACTGTTGGAGGCTCCTGGGGCAAGCCCAGGCCAGAGCCTGCTGCTTTGCCAAGCTCAGCGCCCAGGGAGAAGGCAGGGGCTGGCCTGGGGCACACGGGGAGTCAGCTTTCGCTTGGACCCAGGAGTCCGGGTCAGACTCCTCCCCCGCCGACACAGCCGGGTTTGGAATGGGGGGAGAGGTGCTCGTCACACTTCTCCTTTTCCCCTCTCCTCACTTCCTTGCAGGGGAAGACGCTGCCGAGCAGCTGTGGGGGGGTGGGGGGTGGGCTGCACCCCTGGAAGGTATCAGCACGGCGCTGAGGGGAAGCAGGGCTCCAGGGGTCCCGACTGAGCACTCTCCCGCCCCTCCCCGCCCCATGGGACTCTGACCTGCACAGGCCTCTGCGCTCCCAGGCGTCAGGAGATGACTCAGAAGAAACGAACAACAGTGTCCCCACACCACGCAGGCTGGGGCCTGAACCAGCTGCCCTCCCAACCCAGGCTAAAAGTGGGTGGGCCACAGGGCCGAGCCCCTCCCCCCAGCAGAGCGCTCTCATGCTAAAGAACTTCCCAGCTGCATAGGCACTGCTCCCCCCCAGCTCAAATGTGACTACCTCTGGGGTGGAGCAAAGCAGCCAGGCAACAGCCACACAGCAACACCGCACAAGAGCAGTTTAGGACAGGAAGTGAAGAGGGAACCTTCCCCCACTCAGAGCCGCAGATCCTCGCATCCGGCACCCGAAGGGTCGGGCACAATATAACCACTCACAAGGCACTGGCATCCCTGCGGACAGGAAGGCTCAAGGCCATTGCTGAGGCCGGTGGGGAGCAGGGGGGAGGGTGCAGAGGGGCTGGGCCACCTGCGGGAGACCCTGCCGCCCCGATCTGCCCCCCAGGCACCGAGGCTGGCGGAGCAGCTGACATAGAGCCCAGCTTTGTTGTTGCATCTCCCGGGGCAACTAATCCCTGCACCTGTGGCAGGGCCGGAGGGTTTCCAGCCCCTGACCACAGGACACGGGGCTGGTTTCCAGCCCAGCGCCGCCCCTCACTTCCCCCAGGCACAGAGCCCAGCTCCACAGCCGGAAGGACCCTGCAGAGCCGCCCCACGTGGGATCAGAGCCGGGGCACGAACGGGGGAACCCAGATCATCGGAGAAGAAATTAAAGAGCGGAAAAGCCCGCGGGGCGAAGGGAACTGCGTGGGGCAGAGCGGGGAGAGATGGGGAGCCCCTCCACAGCACACCCCCAGTCCCTCCAGCCTGGTAACCCCCAGCCCCTAGTCCCTTCACCTCACGCCACCAGCCCATCCAGCCTGGTAACCCCCAGCCCCTCCACCTCACGCCCCCGGCCCATCTAATCTGGTTACCGCCCCCAGCCATGCCACCTCATGCCCCTGGCTCCTCCAGCCTGGTGATCCCCACCCACTAGTCCCTGAGCTGCCTCAGCCCATGGGCCCATCTCCCCATCCCAAGTCAGACACGTCTGCTCCCCCGCCCCAACCTCCTGCCTCTGACACAGCCCCTGGGGGAAGGTCCCCCCAGGCCCCACCGAGCCCGCAGCAGCTGAAGACGCAGCCTGGGGCGCTGGGAGGGGCCCCTCCACGCAGCCCAGTGGAGACCCAACAGGGAGAGCCAGTGACCTCACGCACAAAGCGTCCCCGCCCTTGGGGCCAGGGTCAAGGCCGGCCGGGGCCTGAGCAAGACGAGCTCGATGGGCCTCAGCCCAGATGTGGCTCCAGACAGACCCGGGCCGGAGCCCCTGGAGCAGGAGGCAGGTCCCATCCAGGGAAGGGGCTAGCAGGGTGCGATGGGAGCGCCCTGCCATGGACCCAGCACCGGCCAGGCCTGGCTCAGTATCAGCTCATCCCAAAGATGGGACCCCTGAGGGGTGCTAGGCCCCTGTAGCAGGGGCTGCTCTCCGCAGACCCCGGCGCTCCCTGGCTGCTCATGGGTACCCCAATCCCAGCCCGGAGCCGAGGGCCCAGCAAATGAGCCCTGAGCGGGCCTGGCGTGGCCTGGCGCTGGGGGGTGTCTGTTGCTGCGCGGGAGATGATGCAACCCAGCTGAGCGGTTGTGAAATGACAGGCGCTAACCTGGGTGCAGGGGAGCAGGGGCCTCTGCTGGGGATGGGGCAGGCCCAGGCTCTCTGCAAGCAGGGCCCAGCGCCTTGCGTGGGGGGCCGGGGCCGGCCTGTGGTTCCGTGGGGTAATACAGAGAGTCCCCCACAGTTTGGCATGACAGAGCAGCCAGCCCCAACCCCAGCCCCCTTCCTGGGCAGCACACGCCACCCTCTGCCGGCGTGAGGCAGCACACGACCCTGCGGCCCCTTAACACCCACCGGGGAGCCGGGCCGGTGATGGGGGTCGTGGGCCCTACGCCCCAAAGAAGCTGCCACTCGCTGCCCTGCCACTAGGAGCCCAGCACCACCTGCTCAAGATGGACCCCCCAGCTCCCCCATGGGCCCTCTGCAGGCCCCAATCCCAGCTGCTTCCAAGGGGAGCTCAGCCCCCCCCCCCGACATATCCTCCCCCACCTCACTGAGAAACACACACCCCCTCCCTGGCTCCATTGCCCCAGGCGCTCAGAGGAGGAAGGAGCGGCTCGCTCAGGTGAGGCCAGGCCGGGGGGAGCCCCACACCCAGCAGCCCACGGGCGGGGCACGCCGGGGAACATTCTGCTCCCCGGGCCGGCAGCGTTTCCATAGCAACCTCCACAACAGCGCCCGCCTTGGGGCGCCAGGCCCACTGCCACGGCGGGGTCTCTGCCCCACCTCTGCCCTCCAGCCGTCTGGCTCCCGGAGACACATCGGCGTCTCACCCTGGGGTGTGCCTTTCCCACAGCAGAGATGGGACATGCCCCCCGCCCAACATCCTGCCCCATAGTGTGTGTGTGGGGGTCATAATCCAGATCCTGTTGGGTTCCAGACACCAGCATGGGGCCAGGCACAGAGAGGGATTCCCTGAGGGGAACAGGGCTGAGACCCCACCAAACTCATCACACACGTGGGTCCCTGCGCAGGAACCAGGTCCCCACGGCCCTGGGGGCAGAAGGCCCCAGAGCCCATTCCCACGAGCACCACGTTGCCCTTTAAACCCAGCCGCCAGTCCCAGGGCCACCACCAGCCGCGGGGTTATGTGTACAGCGACCACACGGCCCAGGACAGAACCCCGTCCCCAAAGGGCTGGGGTGCAAGGAGCGACTCCACGGGTGGGCAGGCAGCAGCAGCAGCAGGTCTTTATCCTAGATGCAGACCAGCCACTAGAGGGCGACCTGACACAGCCCAGCACCCCCACGCCCCCACGCGCCCCCTTAGGGGCAGATGCCAACAGCACGTGGCCATTTGCGGAAGGTAACAGAAAGTGACTCACAGTTGTAGATGACACCAGGGTGGGGGACAGAGCGAGGCTGCTTCACACCCCTCCTCTTCCTCCCCTTCGAGCCCTCCTGCAAGGAAGATGCAACAGGAAGGTCAGGCGAGAGAGCAGGGCTGTGAGGGGAGCCATTCCCAGGCGCCGGGGGGAGGTTCAGGGCCAGTCCCCATGCCCGCTGCTCTGCCCAGGGCTCCCATCGGCCCATCTCTTAGCTGTCCCTGACTGGGGAAGAGCTGGCAGTCCAGCGGCCGGCTAACCCCCCTGCAGAGCCCCGCTGGGCTCTGGGGCATTGCTGGGGGGCAGGGAGAGATGAAGAAGCCCGGCCTCTCTCGCCTCCTTTGCCCTTCCTCCCGCCCTGCCAGCTGGGGGGGTGGCTTTGGGCAACGTGCCCAGCATGCGCTGGGAGCCCCCCAATGGGCACCTGCTCCTCGCCCCCCTGCCTGCAAGCTGGCGCCCGCCTGCCCCTACCAGCGCAAGGGGTGGAAAAGTCCTGGCATGCTTTGGGCATCTCCCGCCCCGCCCTAGTGCCGCACCCAGTCCGAAGGTGGCCCCAGCATCCCCCACTGCAGAGAAACCCACCCGGGGTGCCCGCCTCTGGGCGGGAGGCTGGGCCGGCCGTGGTGCCCGGCTCACCAGCGGCCTCTGCTGAAAGCCGCTGCCTCGGTGCAAGGACAGCCAGGAAAGTAGGTCAAGTTTGTCTTGGCCAAGGGAGAGAGTCCGTGTGCAGATTTATAACATGGCAACCACTGCCCGGCCGGGCCCAGGGGAGAGCCAGCCTGGGGGGCAGGGAGCTGAGCCCCATTTCCGAGCTTTAGCATCCCCCCTCCTCTGAAAGCACCAGCCCAAGGTGGAGCAGCGGGGGATGGCCCTGGCGAGACAAAGGCAGAGAGCTCCCCAGATGCTGCTGGGAGAGGCGCTGGGCCCCCCGAGTCAGAGCTAGCCCCAGTGTGGCACTGCACTAGGGGGCGCTGGGCTGCAGGGAGGGGGGCAGGGGGCGCTGGGCGGCAGGGAGGGGGCAAGGGGCGCTGGGCGGCAGGGAGGGGGGCAGGGGGGTGCTCTCCCCGCTGCACGGGGCTGTCTCTTGGCTGGGATCACCACAGAGGTCCCCGCTGGCAGATCCCGGGGGCCCTCCCCTGAGAGGCAGGGCGCGAACCCTGACGTCTGGGCCCATTTCCAGCTCGGGAGATTCCCAGCTGCCTCCCTCAACCCCGCCCTGCCGTCCCGGCTCCCGTGCTACCCCCTTGGCATTGGCTGCGGGCACCCCGCCCCAGAGCGGGCTGCATGGCAGCGGCAGGAGAAGCCGAGCTCTCTGAAGTGGTTGCGGCTGGTTGGCACGGAGCCCAGGGGTGGAGAGAGCCCATCACCTCACCCCCGCCTGCCCTGCCCAGGCTCCCTCGCTCCCACGCCCCCCCCATGCACCCGCCATCGCCCCTGCCCCAGAGGGGTCGCTGGGCACCTTCAGAGCAGGGCAGAGCCACAGATACGTGATGCCCAAAGCCCTTATGGAACAGGGCTGAGAGTGTCACAGGCTCCTATAGAATTCCATTTCCATAGGCTCCTCTAGCGCTCCAGAGAGACCCCCGGGACAGAGGGAATTCTACAGGGGCAGGACCAAACCCCATGGCAGGAGGGGTTCATCCCGGGACGTTCTCTAGGGCCCTGCCAGCGACATGGCTCCCATAACGTCCCCAGCGCTGCAGCCAGGGAAAGTGAGGCAGACGGAGCGGGGGGGGGGGAGGTCACACAGAGGGTGACCAAGGGAAACCAGGCGTCCTGATGCCCAGGCCAGTACTTTGACCCTAAGTCTGACTCCAATATGGCCCTGGGTAAAGTAAGACCTGGCTCGTGCCCGGGCAGGTTTAGACCCTGCCATGGGACCCAGCCGCAAAGCCTGGGGCACAAAGCGGGTATAGGGGTGTCCATGCCCTCCCACTCCAATCCCCTGGGCTGCCACATGGACCCCTTCCATCGGCACGGGAGACGCCAACTCATCGCTCCCAATCTGAGCCGCCAGCCCCTGGTGCCAGCAGCATCGCGCTGCGCCAGTCTCCGGAGCCTGCCGCGCTCCCCGCTCACTGAAGAGCGGGAGCCGCTGGAGGCTGCTGGGTGAATCACCAAGACCAGCTCCCAGCCGGGCAGGAACGGAGCAAGTCGGGGCTGCGGGGTTCTACAAGGGCAAAGGTTTTCCCTGCTTCCCAGTGGCTGGGGCCTTCCCCAAACCACACCCCGTCTGCTGTAACCACGACGCTACATCTTCTCTTACACCACCTGCCTTGCAACCCCCCAAATCGCTCTGATCCCGGGGAACCCCCGCAGGGCTCCCTACTACTCCCCACCCACCTCTCTCTCAGTAGGGTCTCCACTTGCATGGCACTCAGGGTCCAGGCCCCCAATGCAATACCTGCAACTGGGGGATTATTTGAGGGTTCGCAGGCGCCACACCTCACGCAAGGAGTCCCTGGGGCTGGCGCCCCCCCCCCCCGGCCCTCCCCCCCCAGCAGCCCGCAGCTTCCGGCATTGCTCAATTGAGCTGAGTCAGTCGCTGGCACGTCCCATCCCAGCCAGACACTGAGCAGAACAGCCCTTCCCCAGCTGGGCCCGTGCCGACCCCCCCCAAAACACATGGCCTGTGCAGATCCCTCCCCCTACCCGCCCTACCGGGATTCCCCCCCATCGCCTCCGCACGCGCTCTCCATCCCCCATCTCACGCCCAGCCCTGGGGCACAACCTGGGCCCACTCCTCCCCCTACTGCCAGCACCCACACAGGCTCGCCCAGGGCCTCATCCAGCGCATGGGGCTGTGTGCCTGCCAGCAGCTCTGCCCTCCCAGCGCCAGGCTCTCCAGGGAGCCGCCCGTCCCGCTGAGCCCATGGGCAGAGAGCAGCCGCGGCGGGCGTGAGGAGGAGACAGCAGGAGCGCGGGCAGGGCCAGCGTGGGAGAGGTTCCGAGGGCGTGTGGGCAGGGGCAGGGCCGAGCGCGTGCAAGGCAGACGGTGCCAATTCACTCTCCATGGACGCGCCCCCCCGACCCCGTGTTTACACAGACACGGCGCTTTGCAGAGCCGTGTGGTGTGGGCAGTTAGAGCCGGGGCTCCTAGGTTCTATCCCTGGCTCTACTCCTGCCCCTCCATGAACCCTTGGGGTCAAGCGCTGCCCCTCTGGGCCAGCTAACGCCGCAGGTTTGAGGCCCGGGGTGAGATGTACTGTGGGCATCCGGTATTTGGGGCACACAGGGCCCCAGACAGCACCCCTGTAGCTCCCTCCCACCGGGCCGCAGGCAAAATCCACCCTCTGGGAGCAAGTATCAGAGGGGTAGCCGTGTTAGTCTGGATCTGTAAAAGCAGTAAAGAGTCCCGTGGCACCTTATAGACTAACAGACGTATTGGAGCATGAGCTTTAGCTGGGGCCGCTCCCTGCTCCAGGCGGGCTCCTGTCTGCGCCCCACCCCGGGCAGCGCCCACAGGCTGCAATGTAAATACAGCCTGGGCGAGGGGCTGCGCCGGGCTTGTTCCATCGGGGAATCAGCCGCACGAACACTTCCAAGTATAGGCACTGGCAAGAAGCCAAGGACACAGGATCCGCGGCCTTCACGGGCCGGCTCCAGCCCCCCATGCTGTGATTCTCCCGCTACCCACTCGCTGAGACCCCCTGCCCCCTCCCCCGAGCTCCTGCACGCAGATCCTGCCTCGCAGGAGGGGAGGGTGCAGGGCTGGCAGCCACCAGCTCCATATCACCCCCATCACCAGCCAATCTCCCCACCCCGGGTCGGCCGCAGTACTGCCAATGGAACCCAGGAGTCCTGGCTCCCAGGCCTGTGCTCAGATCGCTGGCGCCAGTCCCCCCCCCGCTCTGGGAGTGAGGGGTCATACCTTGGTAGCACTCCCTGCCCCACACTTTGCAGCCCGCTGCTGCTCCCCAGAGGTGGCTGCATTTTGGCAGTGCTGCAATTCCCACGGCTCAGGCATGGGCCAAGCCCAGGCACTGTTCCTACTGGCCCCCGGGTCGTTCCAATGCAGGCTTTGGGATCCCCAGGGGTATGCAGAGAAACCCCCACATCCAAACCCATACGGGACCAGCACTCCTCCGCTGGGATCAGGGCTTTACAGGCAGGGACTGTTTAACTCTTACAGCCCCCTGGGCTGCCCTCGCCCCCACCTGCAGACGGGGAAACCGAGGCACAGAGCAGGAACGTTCCGCCAGCACTAGAAAGCTTAGCGTGTGCAGACATGATCTCTCCGGCACAGGCGGCTCTCGCCTGTCTAAGGCATGTTCTAGCCACGTCCCTGACACGCTCCCAGGGGAGGCAGCCCGGCCCCACTGCCCAGGCCTGAGTCAGGTCTGGGGACGGCCTGAGATTCGCAGCCATTCACAGCAGCAGCCGTGGCCTCTGGAGTCACTGCTCAGCGCCTGGGGCCGGCCCCCCAACACCCGGTGAGAGCCCCGCACGCCTCCGGGGGCCCCACAATCAGGGGCCACTTCTGACATTTCAAAGACAGCTGCCAAGGCCGGGTCAGAGCTGGCCAGAAGCCAGGAGACCCCAGCTCCAGCCAGGGCCTGCAGCAACCTCCGGGGGCAGAACCCAGCACTCAGGGCGTGAAGACAACCAACGCGGGGGAGAAAACTCAGCAGCATTTCTCAACGCCGCCTCCCACCGCAGCAGCCAGACGCAGAGCTCCCCGCCAGCACCGGCCAGACCCCCAGCTCCTCCCCCCCCAGGCCCCCCACCTCCCATCCCCCAGCACCGACCAGACCT